GGGGGGGGGCATGGGTCGCCGGCCGGACCTGTGGGCTCGTCGCTGCAGCTTCCTGGAGGCTCTGCATTGTGGTGGCTGGGGTCACCCGGTTCTTTCCTCTGCTCCTCTCTGGGGGGGTGCGGTTCTCCCTGTTGGGAGACTCCTGGGGCTCCGGGCCTGTGGGCCGCTGTGTGTCTGTGGCTCCGGTCCTCCCTATGTTGCCATTGTGTGCTGGGGGGACGGGTCTGTGGGCCCCCGCGTCCACTATTGGGCATTCTTTTGGAGAAATCTGGTGGTGGCGGGCGTGCTTGCGCGGGTGTTTGGATTCAGGTGCTTTGACAGATGCATGCTAGGTTGGGTAGTGGTGGAGGCTAGATGATTCCTTGTGCCATGTCGAATGTTTCATGGTGATATTGTGGGTGGCATTCTGCTGTGCATGTTGTTTTGTCATGGTGGTCTCTCGTCTTATCTATTTCTCTTTTATTATTTCATTATTCTTCTTTCTTCTCTCTTTAAAAAAAAAAATAAAAAAATTGATTGATGATGATAAGTTCATTGAAACACTTCACAATGTTTCTACACTTAAACTGAGCTCAAAAAAAAAAAAAAAAGATAATGTGGTCGACATTTCACTGTTATTTGCTCCAAAGCCTTCGAGCATGAGCTATTTACATCAGTACAGTTTGTGCACCAACTTTTACTCACGTAAATGCACACTCCGCCTCCCCGTGATTTCCTCGTTAGCTCGCTGCAGTGGTCCACTCAAAAAAATAAAGTCTGTCATCCAGCTGAAAGACCGTTTCCAGCATTTCACTTGTAATCCATGTTTCTGTGAGGCAAAGCACCGCACACTTCATCATCTCCTCTGAGGCGCCCGCTCTCAGACGAAGCAAATCCATCTTGTTGTCCAACGAGAGGACGTTCAACACAAAGAGAGATGGGAGTTCTCCGGCTTTAGCGTTAGCTCGTAGCCTCACCATACCCTCACCCCGCCAGGCGTACTCTCTTTTTAAGCCGGGAGCAGCGCTTCCTCTTCTGCCTGTTGGAGCGCCTCTGCCAAGCGTAGTTTTGAGTTTGTTGCTGATTTCTGCTATATTTCGTGGCAAATCCGCTCCTATTCTCATCAGTTCGGTTCGGCTATCGTTCACACGCATAAATCATGCGGAGTCAGGCACAGAGTCAATATCAAAACTTCTAAAAACTGGGATGGTCCCGGGAGCCTGTGAAGCTGCAACTGCTCTGAGTGCGGCCATCTTGGCATTTTTCGTCTTGGCATCTCCCGGATGAGTCTGTGTGTGGTGGTTGTTGAAGCTGTGACTCCAACTCATTCCACTCTTTCTGGATCTCTGACAGATTCTGGATCTTCTCTGTTTGATGATCCACTGAAGCCCACGGTCATCTCTTTTGCTGGTGGATCTTCTCCTGCCACAGTTTGAATCCTTCCACTATCTTTCCATTGATGTGATTGGACACAGCGCTCTATGAACAGCCAGCCTCCTTAGCTATGAACTGTTGTGTCTTACCGATCCTATGGAGGGTCTCAATGATGGTCTTCTGGACAGATGTTCTGTCTGCAGTCTTCACCATATTGAACTGAACTGAGACAATTTAATGACACCTGGGGAAACGTGTGCAGGTGCTTTGAGTTTAGTAGATGATTAGTGTCACACTCAGTTTAAAACATTCATGTCCTGCAACATTTGGACTGATGTCTTCACAGTATTATAATTGTTTTTTAAATCCTGTTTTAGTGGGTTTCATGAGCTGGAAGTCCAAGTTATGTAAAAATAAACTAATACTTGAAATAGTTTAAACTGTGGGCCCTGAATCTATCGTCTATTAAAGATGAACTTTTTGAATGAATTATGGAAGTTAACCAACTTTTCCATGGTATTTAATTTTTTTGGAAAGTGTCTGTAAAAGAGTTTTTGTGTGAGCCAGTGACAAGGCGCCTGCAGCACAACGTGATGATGTCACACACGCCTACCTGATCTGATCAGAGGAAGAAGTCAGAATGTCGGTGGTGTGGAAGGTTTTTTGTTGTGGATATTGGACTCTGAAGATTTTTGGACTATGTTGAGCCTCGCTACGTCTGTCCTTCATGCACAGGATCCCAGACTGCAGCTATAGGAACCTGGAACAAACCTCCACAGGTGGGACGGCATCGCAGGTGATCAATGCTAATAAACATTTAACAGTTTTTATTTAATAGAAGTTAAAGTGCTACGCATCTCAAATGGCTGTTCCTGAACAGAAGTCCCCAGCTGTTGCAGTTTTTGTAGCTAATAAGCCTAAATGAGAGGGCTGTGTTCTGACAAGGGAACGTACATTAAAAATAAGAGGGATCAGCCTAAGAGGCAACGTTGAGCTTCCCTAATTAAAAGCATGCATCCATCAGACATCATGTAGGAGCTGTTCAAGTTCTAAGAATAGAAACAACGGAGAAAGGTTCACGAGGACTTTATTTCCATCTTTGATGAAATAAGGCTTGATCAGCATCGAGCACCTTACATCAACACGAGTTCCTATGGGATATTTAGGTTTTAGTCAAAGCTTTATTCTGAAATGATACGTGTTCGGTCTACTCCGAACCAGGACCAGGACGAAACTAGTGGACCACTGAAAGGCTGCAAGGCAAGACATGGACTTTAGCACTTTGCATGATGACATCGCCTCCTCACTTTGGTATTGCATTTATACATGACATTCTTCTGCAAAGAAACAAAATGTACATCTGCATAAATAGAAAAGTCTTCCCCCATCTTTAAATGGTTACAACATTCAGAGTTGCAGCACGACGCCGACACAGATCCAGCACAAAGGAAAAGAAACGTTCCACCGTTGGCACCGTCCCTCACAGCAGCGCAGGCGTCCAGCAGGCTGGACACACACGTTCAAGGCAAAACAAAAACAGAAGGTCTAAAAAGGCAGAAGTTGTAAAACCCGTCACAAATTTAAGTGATTAAGAAAAACCTGATTGTGCGATGAGAAACCAAAGACGAACAAGAGGAAAGAAGTTCCCTGGAGTGCAACGTTTCAATCATTAATCACGTGTGCATTCATCTACAACCAACAGCAGCAAGGCAGCGGCGCGGGGACGAGCACATGGACGCACGGGGGATGGACGGCGTCCCGTGCCTTGAGGACAAGTCTTTTAGTGGAATAAATAGATTTACTGGCCCGACGTTACAGTCGAAGGCTAGAAGAAGGCGTGGAAGCTAGAGATGAAAGCAGATTACACGTGGGTCCCTCCACAACATTCCTGTGATTCGTTCAACACTAGTAGCGCTTGGACAACCTTTCCCCTCACTGATGGACGACTGCTACTATAGGCGGGCGGGGGAGGGGTTAACTTAGGGGTCCTAATGGCGGTCATGAATCCCTAACGTTAATCTTGATGTCAAAGCGTCCCTGGTAGCGGTCCTTCTCGTTGTAGTCGATGTTCTGTCCAAACACTTTGCACTCAATGCGCAGTTCGGTGTTCCGGGTCAAGTTGGTGAACTGCAGAGCCACCAGCGGCTGCAGGTAGTGGAGGTGCAGCCGCTTCCCGTAGTACGGGTAGTACTGCAGGGGGAAGCCACCCCCAATCCCGTAGTACTTGATCTCTCCAATTTTATCTGCATCCTCCTCTTTCTGAAAAATAAACACAGTTATTGAGCACGCACACAACGTGGACGAGACGCGCGCACGTCGGCACATGCGGTCCAAACAGAAGAGGACGGTGTCCTGTACCTTGTGGGTGCAGAACAGAGGGACCACATTGGGCTGCACCTTCGGCTGAGCCTCTTCAGGGATGCTCTCGTTGGAGGCGGGAGGCTGGGGGGGAAGAAGACAGACGTGGGTCAGGCAGAACCCCACACACTGATGGTCTCAGGGGGGACCATGAGGACCATCGCGAAGGGGGTAAGAACAAGAACTCTCTCTCTCCCCCCCAGGGACAGTTTAGAGTTACCAGTGAGTCCAACATGCATGTTTTTAGTCTGTGGGAGGAAAAACACGCAGCACGGAGAGAATGTGCAAACTCCACCCAGAAAGGCCCCCAGACCGGGATTTGAACCAGGGACCTGCTCGCTGAGAGGCAGCAGCTGAACCAACTGCACCACCGTGCTGCCCCTCGGTGAACTTCCTGGTGATAGACGGATGAGAAACGTCTCCTCTCTGGCAGGTGGAGCAGCAGGTGGAGCAGCTCACCTGTAGACACACTGGGCCTGAAACAACTCCTGGAGACAGCTGGATCTCTGACCTGCCCCATGAGCACCACGCTTGCTGCCAGGTCACTTTAGGTCAAAGGTCACCCATGAGTTTGGCAGTGAGTAGCTGGTTAGAGATCCAGACAGGTTTGACCTTCAGGACCTTGTGGTGTTCAACACCTTCCCAACAGTTGCAGCTCCATGTCCCCGACAAAAACAGACACTGCTCCAAGAAGCTCACAGCAACACACACGTCCTGTGGGACACCCAGTGGAGGTTCCTCTGGAGGTCCCACTGGGGGTCCCACGTCCAGTGGGCCCTCCAGT